GCCAAAATTAATCCCAATTTTCATAGCCTTCCAGGAAAAAAAAGAATTATTTTTCTGAGGAAAAAAAAAAAGCCAAACATTTACAGCTAACTTTAACCATGTTGTGAGTGTATATTACTTATCTTAAGAGATCTTTGCAAGGGAAATAAATAGTTCCAAGCAGGATATCAACATTATAAGAAAAGGGACCCAAAATGTATCAGAGAGTCAAGGAGCTATATGGGAGAACAGGAGATGAGTTTGGTGTCAACAGGTCTAGATTTAGGCCATTCATTGTCTGCCCAGTTTGTAACTCTGGGCAAACCACTAATTCTTCATGAGTTCTTTATTATGTAGAAATAATAAACCTGCCGCACCTGTCATAGAGAGTTGTGGAAATCAAGTCGATTAATGTATATGGAACAATTTTTTTAATACTATGCAAGTGTAGGTTACAATTGCCATGTAAGAGTAACCAGACACAAAATATAAAGTACAATAGAAAAGCAGAATTTTTTAAATAAAGGAAATAGCCTTATTTTAAAGTAAAACTTGAAGGAAAAAAAGGGCTACATGTTTTTCATAAAAGTACTGTGAATAAGAAGTTCTTGTGTGTTGTTACATTGTAGGATGTCTATAGATAACAGTAATTTACCATACCCTTCAAAGTGCTAGTAGAATGGAATCTGAAAGCTTTCACTAGAAAGAAATTATGTTTTGAGGTATGTTTAACTTGATATAAATATTATACAATAGATGTACATCTCAAAACTATGTGATACTCCATTAATGTATCCATTTTTATGTTTTTATTTATCAGTTTTAAAAGAAATATCACTCATATTACCTCATTATCTATGAGAATGCTTACCTAAAATTTTTAGAATTAAAGAAGCAAGGGAGGCTGAGCACTGAGCAAGGATGGCTCACTCCTATAAGTGTAGCTACTCAGGAGGCTGAGATGGGAGAATCAAAGTTCCAAGCCAGCCAAGGCTGAAAAGCTATGAGTCTCTTACCTCCAATTGACAAGAAAAAAGGCAGAGGTAGAGATGTGAATCAAATGGTAGAGTCCTAACCTTCAGTGGAAAAAGCCAAGCAAGAGCTTGAGATCCTGACTTCAAGTCTAGAAGTTTAGAAATTTGTTTTTTGTTTTGTTTGTTTCCAGTCAAAAACATTATAATCAGGCTGACACTGGTGGCTTGTATCTGAAATCCTAGCTACTCAGAAGGCTGAGATCTGAAGCCAGCCTGCATAAGAAAGTCAATGGGACTCTTTATCTCCAGTTTCCATGAGACTTTCTATCTCCAGTTGACCACCAAAAAGCCAGAAGTGGAACTATGGTTCAAGCGTTAGACTGATAGCTTTGTGCAAAAAAAGCCTCAGGAACAGTGTCCTGAACAGACACCAAAAAAAGAAAGAAAAAAGAAAAAAATACTATTATCAATCCCAGTTATGCTGTTTGTATAATCTTAAAATGGAAAAGAAAACAAAATGGAAAGGAAAGGAAACAATGATTGCTGCATATATGACCTGTAAAACAACCCTATATGTGTACCCTATATGTTTCTTTTTTTTTTTTTGGTCTGGTTGTGGAGCCTGAACTCTGGGCCTGGGCGCTGTCCCTCAGCTCTTCAGCTCAAGGCTAGCGCTCTACCACTTGAGCCACAGCGCCACTTCCGGCTTTTTTCGTTTTGCTTATGTGGTGCTGAGGAATCGAACCCAGGGCCTCTGGCATGCAAGGCAAGCGCTCTACCACTGAGCTCCCTTCCCAGCCCGCCCTATATGTTTCTTAAAAATCTAAATGAGAACATCTGGGAAATGACCAGGCACAGTACCTGGAAAGTTGCAGGTGGCTTGTAAGTCTAGTTATATTGTATGTCCTCCCACAGGAAACTAAAAGGTAAGAAAAGTATGGAAGTCTTCACAGGTCACAAAATACAAACTGGACTATTGGTTTTCAGATTTAGATATGGAATTCTTTGTTCAAAAGCAAAAATTCAGAACGTAGTCACAAAAATCTAGCTCATGACGCACTTGTGTTACCTTCGTCTGATGAGCTTTGACCCTACAAGTTCTTGAGAAAAATCAGTTTTATAGTATCTGGATAGCTGGACTGAGAGAAGGACATCAGCCAATAGTGACACAATTTAAGAAGTGGTTGTAAGAATGTATATAAATTTAAGATTCAGTTCATATGTGTGCCTAGCCATGTACAAGGTTCTGGGTTCAGTTCCAAGTACTATATGAGGGGGGAAAAAGATTAAGTGTTATGAGATGAAATATATACAAGATACCTACTTCAAAATGTTCAGTAGGCAAGATTATATTTTGATCTTAGTGTTTTGGACTAACAGTGTTTATCTTGAATGGGAAATTGGAAGACATGACATAGAGAAAATATTAAAATCTATAGAAATGAATGAGATCATAGGAAAATAACAACCCCTCCCCCCAAAAAAAAGAACAGTGGTAAAAGCACAGGACTAAATTAGGTCAGACAAAAGTAGAAGTCTTTTTGAAGAGACAGAAAGAGCTGGTGAGACCCACAGTGAACCAACACAGGGACATTAAGAAATAATTAGCATCTACAAAGAGTAGTCTTTAGTGGCATGGTTGAAGCAAAGAACAGATTGGAGTGGTTTAAGGAATGAATAAGAAATGAAGAAATAGGCACTGTAAAGTGAATAGACAGAAAATAAAGACTGAAAAGTGTGAGAGATTGTTAGTAAAAGATTGAAGAGAATGGGCTGGGAAGGTAACTCAGTGGTAGAGTGCTTGTCTTGCATGCATGCATGAGGCCCTGGGTTCAATTCCTCAGCATCATATAAGCAGAAAAAGCCAGAAGTGGCACTGTGGCTCAAGTGGTAGAGCGCTAGCCTTGAGCTGAAGAGCTGAGGGACAGTGCCCAGACCCAGAATTCACACCCCACTACCAGGGGGAAAAAAAGATTGAAGAGAAGATAATATTTTAAATAAAGTTTAAAAACTAGATAAAAATAATTAATAAACCACCTAAAATGAATAGAAAGATTAAAATACTGTAAATTATTTAAAAATGATTCTTAAAACTAGAAGATGTGGACTCTAGTTATCATTGTATAGTTATAGCGTGTATATTTGTAGGGAGGTGAAATAAAGAAAATCATCTGCTTCACAGCCTCAGAATCTTCACCTGTGAACTTTAAGCAAAAAGGGGAAAGGAATTAGATAAAGAGGGTCTTTAAAGAGAAGAAGATTTGTGATCATTATTTTATGTCCACGTTCTTACATGTTACTGTGACAGACACTGGAATATAGCAACAGATCAAACATAGTGTCTGCTCTTATCTGTGTGAACTCTAAATGGACAGATAGTATGGAGGCACAGATGAACTTAGAATTGGGTTTTAAGATTCTTTGGTATTATCCAGTGCTCTAGAGGATGATGTTAGGTTCCTCCTGGAAGAATAAAGATTAATCCAGAAGGGGGAAAAATTAAGGGTACATTAAAGATGAGTTGTTAATTCAACATATATTATGGAGTATACCCTACATTCTGCTACTGTTCAAGAGAATAATCACAGCAGATTCCAATGAGATGATGGACTAAAATAAAAATAAGCAAATAAAAAATAAACCTACAGGAAGAAGCAGTTAATACATATGAGAACATAGTAGATTTGATCCATGGTCAAATAACTACATGATATATATCTTATTAGATATTAAGTAGTATTTCATTTATCCATTCCCTCTTAGAGCCAAAGCACTCTTCCATTATTATTTAATTCTTGAGCTTGAAATACATAAGTTAGTGGTTTGCATCCAGCTGTCTGTAACTAGCAGTAGACTACCGTATGGAATGTTGCAAGACCTAAATACCAGCAGTGCTTGTGACAGTCCTGTACCATGAAGAAGTAGCCCACCAAAAGCACCAATCAAATCTGCACTGAAAAGCTCTGACATAAACAATAATTTTGTACTACAGAATTTTTGTTGATCCAAAATGTTGATTCTCAGGGTGCTGGCTTACACCCTGTAATCCTACCTACTCAAGAGGCTGAGAGGGGCTGGGAAGATGTCTCAATGATAGAGTGCTTGTGCCACATGCATGAGGCCCTGGGTTTGATTCCTCAGCACCACATAAGCAGAAAAAAAGCCAGAAGTAGTGCTGTGACTCAAGTGGTAGGGCACTAGCATTGAGATGAACCGTTGAGGGATAGTACCCAGGCCCAGAGTTCAGCCCCCATGACCAACAGAAAAAAAAAAAAAAAAAAAAGGTTGAGACCTGCGTTTGAAGCCAGCCCAGGCAGAAAATTCCATGAGACTCTTACCTCTAATCACAGAAAAGGCTGGAAGTGATGTTGTGGTAAGCACCCAAGCCTAGAGTTTAAGCCCCAGGACCCACAAAAAAAAAAAGTGTTAATTATACTGTTAATGTCTTCAAACCAAAAAGTGAAAAGAGAACCTATAATACCATACTTAATTTTATAGTTTCTTTGTGATAGCTCAAACATTTGTGAATTCTTCAGCTTTTTCCAGCAGTCATTGTCTTCACCATAAATTCTGTCTAGGAAGTAGATAGTGGGTTGTTATTTTTGTTGTTATTATTTTTTACAAATCATCTTAGCCAAAACTAGAATACTACAATGCTATAATTATACTTGGCATTCCAGGTTTTTTACACAGTAAAGCAATCTTATTATGAGTTTAACATTTGTCAAGTCCCATGAATAGTTGCACTCTTACAGGAAAGCTATCATTGCAGGTTTTTTCTATTTACCTAACTGATATTCTAATAACATAATCTAAACCTGAGAAATTAATCCAAACTAATAAAACAAAAATAACTACCATATTTACCTGATGTGATTCAAATCCATGGAATTTTTCATGATGTCAAGTAGCCTTCACTTGCCAAACCTGGGTTGTTTTATGTCTAGTATTTTAGACATACAGTCACCTACAAACTTGTATGAGAAGTAGAAGGTGCCATTTTTTAAGGAGGAAAAAAATTAACTGTGATGTATTTAACTTCCACAGATAAAAGTAGAACCAGTGGTTCCAGCCCCAAGTCCAGTCATCCCCAGATTGACTCTGCGAGTTGGTGCTGGCCAAGACAAGATGTAAGTACAAATGTGGATCAGTGAGACAAGGAAAACTTAACCTTCTTTTCCCTGTCCTGTTTGAGTCCTATAAAACTTCCAGTGTGAACACATAGGGTCAGGCCTTGTTTTGAGAAGTCTTTGTTCTCAGGTTTTTATTGGTGTCTTCCTCTCAGTAATGCTTTTTTTTTTTTCTGTACTTAAAAACTAACCTGTGACATTGTTTCTGCCCAGTGTTTAATGTCTTGGTTATCAGAGAAATAAGTAACTATATTAGATGAACTAACTGCCATAGTTCATCCACCTAGACATTATGTTATACCTTCTCAAATACAAATTGTCTTTCAGTGTCACAGAATAAAGATTCAGCTAGTATATGTTTTATTCTATTTCTATAAAACAAGATATTGCCACAGACTTAGTGAAGCCATGGGTAATAGTAACAATGGAGAACTTACCTTCTACTCGTTTTGTTGTTCTTTATTTTTAAAAAAACTAGAAATATAAATCCCATGTCTGTCTCAATTTCCACAGAACTATTTTATCATCCTATTCTTTAAGGTAAATTAGTTGTTTTTTTTCTTTATTTTGGGGGAACTATTAAGGTCTTTATTGTTCTTCAGTGATCCTAATAAAGTATACATATATTGACTACTTTTGTAAATCTTATTAAAAACAATTATCCTAGTAAGATTACTGTGGGTCATTTAAATGAAATTCACAAAATGAAAGTACACGTTTATTTACCTTAGTTTTTCCTGGCAAGTCTGAAAGTGGAGTCCTTTATATTGCAAGCAACCAAAATTACGCAGAAAATGGGCTTATATGGCATTCCATTTCCATTCTCATTGAGTCATAAAAGTGGGAGTAAGATCCATGAATTTGTTAAAGAACAGAACATTTGCTTTGTTTTCTTGTTGTTGGTTTCCTCTCTAGTTTGTGTGTTTTTATGTAACTGCTTCTATCTGCCCAAATGTAGTGCAGTGACAAAGGCCAACATGGTAATGAGAAGGTAGCTGAGAGCTGACATTTTTCTCACTCCATTCTATGGAAAATTTCCCATTGTTTTTGGTTGTTCTCATACAGAGATCTAGACAGTAGGGATGGCACTACCAGCATACTTAGAAAATATTAGCAAAACAAAAAAAGAAAAATATTAGCAAAATATTTAAATTGACATCAAGTGTTGTTGGCTCACTCCTGTAATCCTAGCTGCTCAGGAGGCTGAGATCTGAGGGCCGTAGTTCAAAGCCAGCCTGGCAAGAAAGTCCTTGAGATGTTGATCTCCAATTAACTGCTCAGAAAAGGCCAGAAGTGGTGCTGTTGCTCAAGTAGTAGAGCGGCTAGCCTTGAGGAAAAGATGCTCAAGGATAGCACCCAGTCCCTGAGTTCAAGTCCCAGGACTGGCGCGTGTGTGCACGCGTGCATGCACATACACACACAAATTTAGATTCGGCACTTTTTAAACCAGATACTTGTTCTTACTCTCTATCAATCTGACAGAAGTTTGAATAAATGTTCTCATGTCTCAACCAGTAGAGCATAAAGACCAACCAAAGTAAAGTGATACCATCTCCTTGGAAATTCTGTCTACTCTCATCTCTGTAAGGAGAAGATGCTCTTATTCATCATTTACAACCTATTACTAGTTCCTACTTCCTCGGTAGTTTATCAATACTTAATCTTAGCTTCTCACATAGAAGTTTGACTTGCTCAGTCCCTTTAGAGTAATAAGGTTGAAATAGGAAGTTATATTCATTCTCTTAGCCTTTAAGCATCTTTGAATTATTCTGTCAACTATTTTTCTCCTTTTCATATATCATTCATACACCTAAGATATTGGAAGTTGTGAGAAACAGATCCTATTACTCTGGAACAAAATGCCTACTTTGAAAGAAATTGTAATAACCAGAGATTCCAGACAGATTGCCCTTGGGAAGTACATTACATAAATGTAGATGTCAGCTATCTAGGTAAATAACTCACATGATAGCATTCAGAATAATGATAACATGAAGGATAATTGTTTAACAAAGGCAGATGCAAGAAAAATCCTTACAATGATCAAAGAAATTATTTAAGTGAAGTAACACTACATTTCAAACTAAGACAAGAGAGAGTGTAAGAGAAAGAATTCCCAAGTCAAATTGTTAGAATGTTATGTAGAAAATAACTTATTCAGTAATGTACTCTTTTGAGAGGGAACTAAATCAGGTTCACTGCAGCCTTTGAAAACCCTCCCGCCCACCACTGCTTGTTTTTGTGTGACCTATAAACTAAAAGTAGATTTTGCATTTTTAAATGGTAAGCTAAAGGAATATTTCTGACATAAAATTATGTGACTTTTGAATTTCTCTGATATTTGATGATTGTAGATTAAGGACCCATGGCCAGTTCCATGACTGTAATAGTGGAAAAGTGGTAAAGATTCATATAAATGTACTTTTAGTTACTGTTTGTACACACTTGGGGGTGAACTAATATTCTTTTAAAGTGAAATTAATGAGCAGACTGGGATTCAAAATTGAGGGGATTGAATTAGTCCTGGGGGCAGGGATGAGTGTTTATTGCTGAAGGATAGGCAGAAAATAGAGTCCTTTGAAATTATGGGAAAAAAGAAAAAGGTTTACAAGGTTCAAATTATACCCTCTTGTTGGAAGATCTTTAAGACAATATTTGGTTTCTAGGTCTTAAATAAAGAAGCTATGTCTTCTACCCTTCATTCAGAAAGGACTTTGAGGTTAGTTTCCTCTGTTTCCTATTAATGTTCCTTGAAGCAAGACAGAGGTAACTTGTTTTTCCCTCAATTTCACATTCCTGGAACTGTTTTCTAAAGAGATCTGTGGTGCGGACAGTAACTTTCCTTGCCTTAAAATTCAAGATGTCTTCCCAAAGATCTCACCCTTAATATGTCTTCTAGTTATGGATATCTAGAGTGCCTATAGTCCATTTTGAAGATAAAATGAAATCCTTTCCCTGAAATTATAATCTCAATACCTGTAAAATAGGAGTGTGGAAACAACATATTTAAGCTTCTTCCTGAAATATTTGTCTAGCCAGTCAATCTGGCCTTGATACCAAGGAAGAAAGTAGGCTTCAGTTTGCCCAGGAGCACTGCCTACAGCCCTGTTGGTCAGGGTCCTGCAGTCCCAAGGACCCTATGGCAGAGTACAGTGAGTGGAATGTGTATAGTGCTGAGTTCCTTTATTTTGAGCAAGTGTAGGAAGAATTGGCTAACGGCTAGCATTCATTGTTTTATTCCTTTTCACAAAGAAAATAAATGGAATAAAGTGGTAGAATGTCTTAGGACCAGAGTCTGATAAGAGAATTGTCAAGGAAGATACGGCAGAATCTGACTACAGAATTGCCAAGTTTAAATTTATGACTACAAAGAGGAAAATTTTGCTGAAGGAGTTTTATATACAAAGACAGTTTTACATATTGGCAAAGTATTAAGAAAAATATAATGTAGGGCTGGGAGGATGGCTTAGTGGTAGAGTGCTTGCCTTACATGCATGAGGCCCTGGGTTCGATTCCTCAGCACCACAGAAGCAGAAAAAGCCGAAGTAGCACTGTGGTTGAAGTGGTAGTGCCCTAGCCTTGAGCTGAAGAGCTGAAGGACAGTGCCCAGTTGCAGAGTTCAGGCCCTATGACTGACAAAAAAAAGAAAAGAAAAGAAAGAGAGAGAAAAAAAAAGAAAGAGAGAGAGAAAGAAAGAAAGAGAAAGAAAAAGAAAGAAAGAAAAGAAAGAGAGAAAGAAAAAAGAGAGAAAGAAAATGTAAATTTGCAAAAAAGAAAAAAACTTTTAGGGGGAATACTGATGATCATTCTTCCTTTCACAAGTGTCTCCTCTAATACTGCCCTCTCTTTTTCTGTCTACTTTCCCATGTTTCCAATAAATGGAGAGCTCTTCGGCCCAGATATGTAACTCATGCTTGGTGGTAGGAAAACACTGTCTTGGGGGAAATTGAACCACTCTCCATGCTCTCAGGACCTTCCTTCCTGTGTTCCCTAAGCTCACCATGGAAGGGTAGCTAATAGAAGCCCTCTCAACTTCCCAAGGTGGTTGGCTATATTTGTTGGCCATGAATACCTAATAGTATATCTGACCAGATGATGCATCAATTATTAATGATGCCTGTCAGAGAACAAGACTGCTCTCAATAATGTCAAAATTCCCTCTGGTATAAGTTCACAGCAGATCTTCTTTTTTCTTTTTTTTTTTTGTCAGTCATGGGCCTTGAACTCTGGTCCTGAGCACTGTCCCTCAGCTCTTCAGCTCAAGGCTAGCGTTCTACCACTTGAGCTACAGCGCCACTTCCCACAGCAGATCTTCTAGTCAGCAGATTTCACTCTTTGTTCAGTGTACTCAGGTTAGGTTGTGTTAGTTTTTAGGGACTGCTTTTCTGCAGACATTGATGTTTTCTTTTTTTTGCTAACATTTTTATTTCCAATGGCAACTGCATTGGCTCCCCAAATTCAGGAAAGTCTCATTCTTCAGTTCTCCATGGCCGAAATACTTGATGTCTTCAGCTTTTTTGCTGTTGATCACAGGTTTTCCTTATGCCTTGTGGAGGGCCTTTAAATATAATTTCTAAATTATTTCAATCTATATTCTGTGAAAAACAGTGCTAAAGCTTTGTTTAGAAATCCTGAAATATGCCGGGCGCTGGTGGCTCACGCCTGTAATCCTAGCTACTCAGGAGGCTGAGATCTGAGGATCTCGGTTCAAAGCCAGCCCGGGCAGGAGAGACCATGAGACTCCTATCTCCAATAAACCACCAGGAAACCGGAAGTGGCGCTGTAGCTCAAGTGGTAGAGTGCTCGCCTTGAGCTGA